TGAAATTAGTTTTTATAAACTGGACTTTTTGAATTAACTTTACAAGCTATCTCTGTGGGAACGATAAATCTGGTACTTTTTACCATTATTACTTGTTACGAGACGACAGTAGTTCGAGGTGTATACTTGCGCCGAGTTCTATTTTTGTGTTGAAATCTAAGGTTGAATAAACCGACGAGCAATAACTTACAACGTCTCTTGATAGCTCTTCATATCCTGGATTTGGACTCTCTTTCCCAAATGCATACCTACTCAAGAGGCAAATTGCTTCCTTATCTGTTAATAGATTGACATCGTGAATATTTGAGTTCACTACTTTGTGTGCTACCAATATTTGCTTGTCTCTTGTTGTAATGATAATTTTACTTCTCGGCTTAAACCAATTAGGTTCACCGGCTAACGCCTTGAGCTGCTCTACATCATCTACGTCATCTAGAACAACAAGAACCTTTATACCATACATCTTCTTTTTCATCTCCTTTTTCCCTTCAAGAACACCATTTACAAATATGTCTTGCTTTTTCAGCACATCTCTAAGGACTTGTTGTTGCAACGATTTCAAACCTAATAGAAGAGAATTTGAACACTCCCGCACATTCTCCACAAAGCTGCTACCTTCAAACTCATTGCATATTTGATCAAAAAACAGCTCTGGCCAAAGTTGTCTTCCCACTACCTCCCATCCCTGCAATTCCTATCATGCTTAACTCATCAGGAAATGCGTTCAAAGATGAAACCACACCATTTATCTGAGTCCTCATGCCTATTAAATTGCCAACAGCGCTGACGACGGGTAACTTCGATGATATATCCTTAACAACTAGTTTGATAAATTCAACTTCATGCCTGTATGTTAAAGATAATCAATTAGCTTTCTCAAACTCCATCATGAATAATTACTTGTATATCTACAAAATACAAACATATAAAAAGCTATAAAGGAGTTACATATATAATCATATTTCAGTTTGATCTTTCACGAAGAGTACTCTATTTAATGTCAAAGTTTGACGATAAAACATGAGAAGAAACAAAATGAAAGAATTACCCATTTGCGGTGGTCCTCAAGTCCCTCCCACTGAATGATGTTGCATCTTCTAGAGCCTTTCTCCATTTCCCTTCATAATCTTCTTTTTTACATTTGGCAAAGGCTTCTCCAAATGCCCCATTTTGTTTACGGACTTCAGTGGGTTCCACATCATAGAAGATGGGGTAAAGGGTCTGCTTAGTATGCTTCTTTTGGCACTCCATAATCACGACAAGTTCGTCCAAGCACCAAGACGAAGACGCGTAGTTCTTGGAGAAAACAATGACATGGAATCTTGATTCTTCAATGGCTTGAATGAGCTCCTTACAGATCTTTTTCCCTTTCTCAAGGTTCTTGTCATCCTTGTAAGTTTCAATGCTTTCTTTCTTAAGAGCCTCATAAAGATGATCGACGAAGCTCTTACGAGTATCTTCACCTCTAAAACTCAAAAATACATCATACTTGAAGCTGGTCTTGGGAATGGATGAAGCCGAAGAAGAAGCCATTGAAGGTATGATTGAAGGATCCTACTAACATCAAAAACGCGAACAACAATTCAGATTATGTGTGAAACTGAGTCAGAAAATAAAGACCATCTGCTTGGTCAAGAGAGACGTAAAAGATTCCTCGAGCACTAACATATTGTTTTTTTTTTTCATTTAAATATTTATGATATCTTTTGATGTAAGTATTTGTTTTCTCTTTCTTGGAGTCTAATTGATCTAGGATTCAAAAAAAAAACTTAAATCCGAATCTAGTATGGTCTGACTTGAAAAAAGGTTGGCTTAGCCCGGGTTAGGCCAACCTTTTTTGCCCAATTGGGCAAAAGTTTTGGTGTCGGTATGACAGCCTCATTGAACCATTTTTTTTCAACCTCAAAGTCTAGTTCGACCTAAAACGCAAAGATCTCGAACCTTTTTTTCAGCTTATTAAAAAAACGGGTTTGGAAGACCCAAACCTGGTGAAAGTGTGAAACCAAAAGAGATAGAAATAATTTGCTTAAGATGGTAGAAAATCATGATTAGAAAGAAAAAAAAAACCATAAAGTTCCTTAAGCATTAATGATTGCTCAAATAGGGGAGGAGTCACAAATGACTTTGATCATTTGTTAAAAAAGAAAAAAAAAGTATTTTTTGCCATCTGATAATATTTATTAATGTCGAGACATGTCGATCCAATATGATTAAGAAGACATGATAATTAAATTAGGTCGGAAAATAAATACACTATTAATTAATATAATAATTTTCTAATACAAATAAAGACACTATTAATTAATATATAATTTTTTAATACAAATAAAGACAAATTTAATTAATATAATATTTTTTTAATACAAATAAAGACAAAATTAATTAATATAATATTTTTTAATAAAAATAAAGACACTATTAATTAATATAATAACTTTTTAAATATAAATAAAGACTTATTTTTTGGTCAAAAAGATGCGTAAGACACGGAACAGGAAATTAAAAAAGAAAAAAGACCATAAAATTCCTCAAGCGTTCGAATGGGGTGGGGTTATAAGTTAAAGACGCAATTATTTTCTAGAAAAGAAAAGGACCATAGAGTTCATTACATGTTTATAATGGTTTAAAGCGTGTTTGGTTGATGATATTAAGGGGTAATGAATGAAAATCTGAATGAGTAAGAGTGTTTGGTATTATATTATGCGATTAATGATTAACTTAAATCGGTTAAAAACCATTTAACCCCAAAATTAGGTATATAGGATCAGAGGTGCTCAAAAAACTGATCAACCCGGTCAACCCAATCCAAAGAAACCCAGAAAAAAATCAACTCGAGATAACCCGACACATGGTTGATACAAAATTATGTCCAAACCACATCTATTGGGTTGGAATAGAGTTGGGGTAATTTGAACCCAACTCAACCCAATGAACACGAAGCATTATACCATGGATTTAATATGATTATTTAGTTCTTGATTAATGTATGTACATTAGACATTAGACCAACCCGTAATTAGCTATATTCAAAATTATATTACAATTTCAACAGTAATTTTACTTTCTTATTTGCATGAACTTTCAACTTCTTTTTTTGAGTTTGTTAGCGTTGTTTGTATGTTCTCATTTTAATTTACCTCGTTTAAACAAAACTCTTAGCTAGATTGTAAAATAATGTACCAGATTTCAACCTGACCAACCCAAACCCAACCCGCACGTACGGTTTGGGTTGTGTTGGGTTGGGTTGAGATCTTTCAAACCGCAAACATTGAGTTGGATTATTCAAATGTCTTCTACCAATTGAGGCGATTCAAAAGGCCCTGGATAGAAAACAGATGGATTAAGAAGTTTCACGTTTTGATCATTCAAAGATTCGAACAATAGAGAGGTCATACGCATCATTGAAGTGGACAACAGTGTGCTGATGCAAAGCTGTTGGACAGATCTATGTGATTGTGGTACATAGATCATATCTTATTCGTTTGAGCTCCAAAGAAGGTGATTTCAGATTCTCTGAACAGATAACGAATCAATGCACACTTTTTATGTTTTGAGTTTTTGCAAACTCTGGAGTTATCATGGTCTAATTTAGTGTGAAAGTTTGTGAAGGTGTTGGACAGAAACCTTTTATGTTGATTCATGTATCAAAGAACACTAAAGGGTAGATCAGAAGGGACCAGAGGTAGACCAGAGGCCCTGGTTATATGGACTAGAGCTCTGGTCATAATGGACCAGAGCAAAAACCCAAGACGGACCAGAGACAACCTCAAATCAGAAAGAGGTATGATCAGCTTCGATGAACCAAAAGCTCTGGTTATATAGACACACGCACATGGTTTAAGAAAGTTATTTAACTATTTCTAATATATCTTTATATAATAATAATTAGAATATTGTAATTGAAATTAATAGTATCAGTTTAAGGAAGATGTTGAAGATATATAGATTCATTTAGTCCAGTAGGTAAGTGGGACAACATCTTTGTGGTTACCAATCATCAGGATGAAGAACATTATATGTGTTTGTGTTACTTATTTTGAATGTTGAGAGGAAGGGTGATGGAGATTGTTACTTATATATGTTTGTAATGACATGATGCAGATTGGGTTGATATCTGAAATAAATGGCAAAAAGGAAGAGGCATTAGCAAGTGTAGTTGGTAAATGCACAAAGACAGTGTAGCAGTAGAGGTAGATTTGATGCTTGAATTTTGATATAGAGACATGTGGTCTGCTGGTTACTTAGAAGAATTTTAGCTATTATTGTATCATAAGAAGTATAATGAGCATGAGACTCACTAAGTTGGTTTCAGTTTCTCTGAACAGATAATGAACCAGAGGTCACGTGAACTAGATCTACATAGCCCGACCTTTTAAAAGCTTGCTGTTAGCTTTACGCTGCTCTAGCTTTTTGTGCACAACTTTCACCTCGCAACTCCAAAATTCATGATTCAAGTTGCATTGGAAAGATAAAATATATATCTACATCTTTGAGATTTTGAGTTTTCTCAAATTCAATGTGCAGATACGATTTATTCTGTGTCAAAGTCTATAGATGGGTGCTGGACAGAAGCTACATACTTTACTCCTTTCTTCCTAATTTCAGAATGGTGTTCGCTCGTATGTTCTTCATAGATTCAAGCTACGATTTAGATATATTATATGTCACTCCCTAATCTAATCTTAAAGTTTCATGTTCTGAGCTTCAAAGTTTACTCAACGATGTTTGCAAAGACAAATGTTTGTTTTACGACTGTTTTGCGCAGCTGTGAGAAAACATGCACAACTCACTCAATTTTCATCCAAAATGGATGAATCAGATATTGATGAAAAGTTAAGAGGCTGTAGTTCAATATTTAAGTTTTGTGTTTTCTCTCAATGAATCTGTTTGATAGTCAAAAACAGTGATGAAGTTGACACATGAAAGCTGGATAGAGTTTAAAATGTAAGTTTTTCAACAACATATTGTATTTTTGGCTTTATAGGAAAGAACAAACCCAACAACAATGAAGTTCTGACCAGTACATGAAGCATTTATATGTTTATCCCACTTTAGTGAAAAGAGTCACAGTTGGGGTAATTTAACTTCATCAGTGTGTATTAAATCATGGTCGTGTGGGACGGAAGATGGTAATCATCAATCTATTAGTCATTTCTCCCGAGTCCCAATAACGGTGCAATTGTTTGAAATGTTGTTTTCTTTGAAAGCATGACAATGATCTCACCTACGCAACAACCAATCAAAAGATCTCGAGTATCTTTTGCAACACGTACATCTGGTGGCAACATCTCCTTAATTATTTTAGTCATAGTAGCTGAACATGTAAAAAAGAAAAAAATGCATCTCTGCCACTGACAAGATTCACAATCAAGCTAACCATCCAACCCAAAATGCATCCAGTGAACAAAGTTGTTTTAACAGAGTTTTGTATAGGAGATAAGAAGAAAAAGAAAAAATGTGGCAACCTAAGCTACCTCTGGCACATCAACTTAACTTGCTTAATAAGTGTTATCAGTTACCTGATACAAAGTTAACAATTAGGGTCCTCGCCTTTGACAAGATTTCAGCTTATGAGTTGCCTTTACCAACAACTCATACATAATACCTAAACTTTAACTATTCTTTATTAGCTTTGTAGAGAGGTATTTGAAGAGAATGTTTTGCAACATTGTCAAAAGACTAAAAACCTAAGGTTGTGAGAAATGAAATAGAATCTGAAAGATTTACAACAAATAAAAATAAGCAGTAAATTTTGTGTTGCTTGTGATCAATACTCTATCCTTAGATGAAAAACAAGAAATATATAATAGAAACAGACACTTTTATATCTGGAGCATTACTGTTGGTCCCGTAAGGGTCTACAAGAAGAGAAACAGTTTGTAGAAGGGGGGGATGAATACAAACATAATATTTTCAAATTTAAAATATATATTGATAGAGAAGATCAATAAAAATTTTACAAGATTGTTTGCAGAAAGATAAGGTAATAAGAACCTATCTAAATAATCTTTGGTTACACACAAAGCTTTAGTAATTACAAGAAAAGAGGTTGCTAAAAGAAAGATCATTTACTTAAGTTAGAAGATCCTTGAAGTAAGAATTAGGTTAGAGAGAGAGAGACGCGCTCTCTACATGGAGAAGAAACACTTCTATTTATACCCAGTGCATTAAATGTCCATTTAATGCAATATGGTAGGTTTAGAGTGCGTGTCAAGCCTTAAGAGGAAGGCTTGTCCTTTGCTACAGTGAATAGTATAGAAGCACTATTTCTGAGCAGACATCCTTACCTAAAGTTGGTGGACAAAGAGTCGACTAGTCGGCTCCGTACCGTACTAACTTTTATAAAGGTATGGGTTTTGTTCTTTTGTGTGCATAAGGACAAGACAACAATCATGCTAAGCAAGCTTCCTTTGATCGCTGAATGCTGGAATGACCTGAAGGTCTCATCATCATTCGCTGAAGCTTGAGCAGTCTTCACACATGTGTAGACAGGCTTGTAATCACTGAATACCGCTTCAGATCACGTACTCGCC